AAAATACATAAAATAATTCATATTTTTTAAATAATTGAATATTTATTGCATTTTTATTAAGTATTTGTAAAAATAATAAAAATGTATTCATAATTAAATATTTGCTGTTCTTTTATTGCCCTTTTACAAAAGCACATCAAAAGGATAATAAAAATATAGCAAATCCGATTAGCTTTCCGTCGGATTCTCCAATTGGTGGGGCACCCTAAAATTATCACAATAATAATAATAATAATAAAAACCATAAAATTATCACTATATCTTCACAATAACTATCTAGTTGCCGGTAAGGATCCACGCACACCCCTGCCCTGAGGGTCAGCATCCATATTATGGCTATCCATGCAGAAATCTTTGAAGCAGCAGACCAGTAGGTTAAATGTTTAATCCATAAGCAAAGAATGCAGAGAAAAAAAAAAAAAAACAAATATATTTCTTCCACTGGGGCAGACGTTCAAGGCTTATTAGCACCACATCTTTTAACAACGTATGGGCCTTTTAATGAAATCCACTAAAATGAAGCTTCTGCTATTTTATCTGTAATACAATATCCATATGCCAGTTTAAGAAAGAAATTCCTTCCCCATAAAGTACGTTGGGCTCTCAAAAATCCTGCCACTAGGAGCTAGGAAATCTCGTCACCAGCAAATAAACCTCAAGAGCATACGCTTTAAAACATGTAGTCGTGCGCATCTCTGTCATCTGCTCTCCGACTTGCATCTTGTACATCACCAGCAAGCACTCTCTTGTTCATTTTGGCCCTTTGGACCAGACGAACCAATGCTTGCACTACTTCTGACATGGGCGGTCTGAACTCCGGCTCAGGCTGTCAAACAGGGCAAATTATTACGTGCGGAGTCCGGACGTGATCCAGAGACCAATAAAATTGCGCCACATCACCCAAAAAGTGTACCGCATTTGGTACAGAGCACAACACCGAGCGGCACAGAGCGTCGGTACCGCACTCGGTACCAAGCAGTACCGGACAATTTTTCCGCCCGGTGTCCGCAGGAAACACTTGTTGTTATTATTGCTATTGTGGCGAGTTTTTTCAAGCAAAAATGCATGAATGGGCTCCGGATCCGAGAAATCTATCTCAAGGGACTGAAAAAGGGGTAATGCAATTTGATAGGAACATTACCTGAACACATAGGGCAATAACATCGGCAAATCGAGAGAGAGATTTTGCGGGGTACAGCCCTT